AGTCTACAACCTTGAGAGAGATCAGAGCATGGGATGAAAACAGCATGCGACAAGACCTCTCTCCCTTCTCTTGCCCCCTCAATCTAAAATAAGGTTTTCAAAGGCCAGGTGCGGTGGCTCACGCCTGTCATCCTAGCACTTTGGGAGGCTGAGGCGGGCGGATCACAAGGTCAAGAGATCGAGACCATGCTGGCCAACACGGTGAAACCCCATCTCTACTAAAACTACAAAAATTAGCCGGGGGTGGTGGCATGTACCTGGAGTCCCAGCTACTTGGGAGGCTGAAGCAAGAGAATCGCTTGAACCCAGGAGGTGGAGGTTGCAGTGAGCCAAGACCATGCCACTGCATTCCAGCCTGGTGACAGAGCGAGACTCCATTTTAAAAATAATTTAAAAATAAGGTTTTCTGGAGCCACCCATAATCCAAGGTGGTGGCTGGGACCTTATTACTCTCAATTCCTGCCACAAAAATCCCTCATGGTGAGAAACAGGACATTGCACAGCCTTCTCCACTCACACAAGAGACTTCTTCCAATTCAGCTCCTATGACAATTGGCTGGGGTGGCTGAGGCTGTGGGGCTGGAGTCAAATCCAAAATTGAAAGCCCAGCACCCATTCCTCCTACCACTCAAGCCGCAGTCTCTGAGGATGCAGCTTTATACAACACGGCTTGTGTGGAGACTCTGGGGGCTTTTGACACAGTTGTTCGGTGGCAGGCAGCTAAGCAATCTTATGCGTATATTGATAGCACCCTCTTCCCCATCACAGCGCATGTAACACAAAGCACTCACACGCAGGCTCCTCTAACAGGCATGCCAATTCCAGGCACACTAGCCATGAGGCCACTCCTCTTTCCCACTCAAATAAAACACAGTGGATTAGCTGGGCATGGTGATTTATGCCTGTGGTCCCAGCTACTCAGGAGGCTGAGGCAGGAGGACTGCTTGAACCCGGGAGGTGGAGGCTGCAGTGAGCTATTGCACCACTGTACTCCAGCCTGGGCAACAGAGTGAGACCCTGTCTCAAAAAATAAAAAACACAGTGGGATGCAAGGGAGTAAGTGGTGAGTGGTTTATGGTAGGGTTAACCCTGAGTCCACTCGAATTCCGTCCCTCCTTCTCTTTCATTTTTTTGTTTTGTTTTGTTTTGTTTTGTTTTTCAGATGGAGTCTCGATGTGTCACCAGGCTGGAGTGCAGTGGCACAGTCTCGGCTCACTGCAACCTCTGCCTCCCAGGTTCAAGCGATTCTCCTGCCTCAGCCTCCTGAGTAGCTGGGACTACAAGCACGCACCACCACGTCCAGCTAATTTTTGTATTTTTAGTAGAGATGAAGTTTCACCATGTTGGCCAGGATGGTCTCTATCTCTCGACCTCGTGATCCACCCGCCTCGGCCTCCCAAAGTGCTAGGATTACAGGCGTGAGCCAGTGTGCCCAGCCTCTTTTTTTGTTCGTTTGAGATGAAGTTTCACTCTTGTTGCCCAGGCTGGAGTACAATCGCGCAATCTCAGCTCACCGCAACCTCCACCTCCCAGGTTCAAGTGATTCTCCTGCCTCAGCTTCCCGAGTAGCTGGGATTACAGGCATGCACCACCACGCCCGGCTAATTTTGTATTTGTAGTAGAGATGGGGTTTCACCATGTTGATCAGGCTGGTCTCGAACTCCCGACCTCAGGTGATCCGTCCACCTTGGTCTCCCAAAGTACTGGGATTAAAGGCGTGAGCCACCGTGCCTGGGCACTAGTTACTTTATTTTGAATTTCAGTAGAGATGAGGTCTCACTATGTTGCCCAGGCTTGAATTTTGTTTTTCACAGTGAAACACAATTATGAGTAACAAAGGACCCAGAATCCCTTCACAGCCATAACAGCATGCTTGACAACTACTGCTGCCTAGCCTGGGGGTTTCCAGCCTTGAGGTTGTGCCTGCCCTAGGCTGAGCAGGAGGCCAGAGCTGAGCTGAGAACAGAGCCCAGGATGATTGCTACTCCTAATCCATGAGGTACCAAGATGTGGTTTTGTGTGACACCTTGAGATGGCTGAGACCTCTCAGTCCCTATTTATTCTTAGCAAAGCAAACGACGAGCCTGAAAGCTGCATGGTGACTTAGGGCATCAGCGTTCAGGAGGTCTCCACGGGGACTGATGTCCTGAGGTGACTAGCGGCTTCCAGACATCAGTGCCGGTGACACCCAAACAACACTTCTCTCCAGGCTCCCATTTTTCTGCAAACTAGGCTGTCTCTTCATAATAGAGCCTAGTTGCCATCAGAATGCCTTGACTCCTCCAGAGGACAAGTGCTAATCTTTTATATTTTTTCCATGCCCAAGGCTGGTCAGAGAAGATCTGTCTCTACCTACCAAGCTCCAGATAGCCTTGCCCTTGAGCCAGATTGGCCTAAGATGGTGATGGACTTCTAAGAACACACACATCTCGGGTGTACTGATGGACAGGAAGCCAGGCGAGACAATGGCTTGCTGCCCTGCTATGCTAATTTGTTGGCCAATTCATAGGAGGTGGCAGCTGATGCTGTAATGATAACTTACAGGGCAGCGGCAGCAGGAAAGTTTGCTAAAAATGGCTTTTATTACAAGGCTTTCCTGAGTTTGGCTATACCCAGGCATTATGTCATTAGGAAAACCTGATGCCACTCAACAGCAAAAAAGAAATCTGTTCCCAAAGCAGAGGCTTTCTGAAAGCTATTAGCTGTCTCCTTGAAATCACAACATTGAAGATTTCACAGCAACACCATCAACACATTGGAAGGAAGCATATTTGCCTCTCTGCCTTCTTTATTACTCATTCCTCTAGTAGGGAAAAGTGGGGGAGGAGAGGAAAGATGGCAAGGGTTTTTGTTTTGATTCATTCACACTTAATAAAGCAAAGAAAAACACTGATTTTTTTTTTTTTTTTTTTTTTTTTTTTCAGATGGAGTCTCGCTGTGTCGCCTAGGCTGGAGTGCGATGGCGTAATCTCGGCTCACTGCAAACTCTGGCTCCTAGGTTCAAGCAATTCTCTCTGCTTCAGCTTCCCAAGTAGCTGGGATTATAGACGCACACCACCACGCCTTTTTTTAGTAGAGACAGGGTTTTGCCACGTTGGCCAGGCTGGTCTCGAACTCCTGACCTCAGATGATCCTCCTGCCTCAGCTTCCCAAAGTGCTGGAGTTACAGGCCAACCCTGCCAACCCTGATATTTAAAAATAACATCTCTTGGCTGGGCACAGTGGCTCATGCCTGTAATCCCAGGACTTTGGGAGGCTGAGGTAGGTGGATCACCTGAAGTCAGGAGTTCGAGACCAGCCTGGCTAATGTGGTGAAACCCCGTCTCTACTAAAAACACAAAATTAGCCAGCCGCCTATAATCCCAGCTAGTTGACAGGCTGAGGCAGGAGAATCACTTGAACCTGGGAGGCAGAGGTTGCAGTAAGCCAGGATTGCGCTACTGCATCCAGCCTGGGCAACAGAGTGAGACTCCGTCTCATAAATAAATGAATAAATAAATAGGCCAGGCACAGTGGCTCACACGTGTAATCCCAGCACTATGGGAGGCCGAGGTGGGCGGATCACGAGGTCAAGAGATCGAGATCATCCTTGCCAACATGGTGAAACCTCATCTCTACTAAAAATACAAAAATTAGCTGGGCGTGGTGGCATGCACCTGTAGTCCCAGCTACTCAGGAGGCTGAGGCAGGAGAATTGCTTGAATGCGGGAGGAGGCGGTTGCAGTGAGTCGAGATCTCAGCACTGCACTCCAGCCTGGTGACAGAGCGAGACTCTGTCTCAAAAATAAATAAATAAATAAATAAATAAATAGATAGATAAATAAATAAAAAAAATCTCTCTAGTCACCAGCAACTTTGTGGGCTGTAGATCATTTGTCCTCCCAGGGCCAGAGGGCTTGATAATACAATCAGCACTGAATACTCCTGAGACCCCAAAGCCAGCCAACTTTTTCAGCCTTTGCTTCTTCCACAGCATCAATTGTTCTGGTGTTGCTTTGGTCTGAGACAAAGACTGTCTGCCTTTCCTACAGTCCCATGGGGTCTGCCTGTCGCAGACCAGAGCAGCATCAAGGCGGTGGGTGGAAGGAGAGGTCTGAAGGCCCTGCCACACACTCTTCCTGGAGTTGGCCTTCCCTTTCCCTCAGTTTCTGGCTATTAATCTCGGCATCTTGGAGGATTTGCAGCAGCCACTACTAGGAGAGAGGAACTGTTTTGGTTCTGGATTCTTTCTCACAGATACCTGAGACTTAGATAATCAAGAGTTGACTTGGCTGGGCACATTTGCTCACTCCTGTAATCCCAGCACTTTGGGAGGGGGGCAGATCGCTTGAGCCTAGGAGTTCAAGACCAGCCTGGCCAACACAGTGAAACCCTGTCTCTGCTAAAAACAGAAAAAAAAAAAAAATAGCTGGGCGTGTTGACTAATTCTCATGCCTCAGCCCCCTGAGTAGCTGGGATTACAGTTGGCATTTGAACCCAAGAGGCAGAGGTTGCAGTGAGCCGAGATTGGGCCACTGCACTCTGGCCTGGGCAATGGAATGAGATCCTATCTCAAAAAAAAAGGAAAAAAAAAAAAGAGTTTACTACACTAAGATGGATGGTGAAGATGTTTTGCTGCTATTTGGTAAAGTAATAATAATAAAGGGGTCAGCATGGTGGCTCACACTTGTAATCCCAGTACTTTGGGAGGCTGACACAGGAGGATCGCTTGAGCCCCAGGCTTCGAGACCAGCCTGAGCAACGTAGCAAGACCCAGTCTCTATGAAACATTGAAACATTAGCCAGCCAGGAATCATGAATGCACCTGTAATCCCAGCTACTAGGGAGGCTGAGGTGGGAGGATCCCTTGAGCCCAGGAGTTTGAGGCTACAATGAGCTGTGATCACACCACTGCACCCTAGCCCGGGCAACAGAGCAAGATCCTGTCTCTAAAACAAAATAATGATAATCATGATAAAGAACAAATGGTCAGGGATTCAAACCCCTGTGCTCCCACTCACGTTCATGGTTCCGTTGATCTCTGCCACCGATTCATCATCTGTAGGAAACTGATAGATCTGGACTCCGTTGCTGACAAGCTCGCTGGTGATTTTGATTTTGAACTTTGTTAGCTCACTCTTCGAAATGGCATCTGCTTTGGCAATGATAGGGATGATGTTCACCTGGGAAGAGGAGGAGCAAAGTGGGGTCATTGTTAGTAACCTGCAGCTGACAGCAGCATGACCTAGGACTTCCACCAGCGGCCAGAGGGAGCTGCTCAGCCCCGTGGTCTAGGGCTGGCCGCTTCCATAGCCAAATGACAATACAATAAACAGCAAGTATTAACTATGTTCTGGGCACTGAACTAAGTGGTTTACATAAATTAGCACAATTCATCCTGACAATAACCCCTCCAGGAGGTATTATTACTACTATTTTGCCAATGAGAAACTGAGGCATAGAGAGGTTAAGTAACTTGTCCAAGGCAACAGAGCAGGTAAGTAGCAGAACTGGAAAACTGGGATTCAAATCCAAACTCAGCCTTATTACTAAGTGTCTTGTCTTGTCCTTCCCTCCCCTCTCCTCTCCTCTCCTCCTCGCTCCTCACCCTCCTCTCTCTTCTGTTCTTTTCTGGAGACGGAGTCCCGCTCTGTCACCCAGGCTGGAATGCAATGGCGCAACATCGGCTCACTGCAACCTCCGCCTCCCGGGTTCAAGCGATTCTTTTGCCTCAGCCTCCTGAGTAGCTGGGATTACAGGTGATCGCCACCATGCCCAGCTAATTTTTTTGTATTTTTAGTAGAGATGGGGTTTCTCCATGTTGGCCAGGCTGGTCTCGAACTCCTGACCTCAGGTGATCCGCCTGCCTCAGCCTCCCAAAGTGCTGGGAAATACAGGCGTGAGCTACCACGCCCGGCCTCCCTAGTCTTAAGCATGAGCTGTCTATCAGTTCAGATCCAAGGTGATGAGCTGTGTGGTATCTTGGTATCAAGATTACTGCTTGGGAGATTTGAAGCAGAAAGGTGACAGCTGGGAATCTGTGGCTGACAGGAGAGAGGTGGCTCCTCCTTACTAACAGTAAATTGTGCCAACCCATCAGGTCCAGGCTAGCCCCAGCCAGGTGTGATGTGGACCCACATGAGATGGCAGGGAAAAGCAGTAGGGACGATGCTCAGCGAGGACGCACACCTGGCTCCCTTTCTGGCAGCAGACACTGAATAACCAACTCAGTTAGGTGAGGAAGCACCTCTAGTTATAATTTGATCTGAGACTTTTGCAAAAAGAAGTGTACTGCCTGAGTCTCATGATTAATTTCTGAGTAAGAAAAGCAAGTATATTGTTTCCTGTTATCTGTCTTAAATTTAAAAAAGAAAAGAAAAGAAAAGAAAAACAAGTATAAATGCCCAATTTCAGGCATCAGGAGAAAGGCCTAATACCAACCAAAAGTCCAATCCACCTGAACCCTAATCCTTGAAATGCCTCCAAGAAGGGATAAGGCTTTTACCGTGAGAAGTCAAAGAAACTTGAAATACACATGTCTTTGTGAGACAGAGCACGCTAAGGTCTGGTTGACACGGGGAGGACAGTCATTCCTGCCAGTAGACTCCAAGGGGGACATAGGTGGCACTCAGGCCCCGGGCTCTGAAAGGGGAGTCTGGGAACTCTAGACAGGGAAGATAAATCCTGCCTCCTTTGCACTTTGGCTTAGGAGGGCCTCTGAAGGCTGATATCACACAGGTGCTGGGTCAAAGAAAGATTGAACCTTGTAGGCCCCTCCCTTGAAGTCTTTCAGGGGGAAAGGGGTCAAAGCCCTTGCCAAGACGAAACAGCAGGCAGAGCCTCTTCTCCTTGGCACTTTCACCAAGTCCCCACTGGCACACTATAAACATATCTCACGCCTGTAATTCCAGCACTTTGGGAGGCCAAGGCAGGCAAATTACCCGAGGGCGGGTGTTCGAGACCAGCCTGACCAACATGGAGAAAGCCCATCTCTACTAAAAATACAAAATTAGCTGGGCATGGTGGCACATGCCTATAATCCCAGCTACTCAGGAGGCTGAGGCAGGAGCATCTTTTGAACCCAGGAGGCGGAGGTTGTGGTGAGCCATCGTGCCATTGCACTCCAGCCTGGGTGACAAGAGTGAAACTCCATCTCAAAAAAAACCATGTTATCAAAGGCTTGACCCAGCCCATCCACCAGGCCTGCAGCCATGTGGCTCACCACTGCCCCTATACAGGACATGCAGGACATGGCCACATTTCAAGAGCAGCATTTTATTCATGGGCCATGAGCCCATTACTGTGAAAAATGAAAAACTGCTCCTATTCTGATGAGAGCTGAAATTCAGTTTTAAAGTGGATGTGCTACTAAATGGCTGCATGTAAATTCTTTTTTTTTTTTTTTTTTTTTTATATGAAGTCTTGTTCTGCCACTCAGGCTGGAGTGCAGTGGTGCAGTTCCAGCTCACTGCAACCTCCACCTCCCAGGTTCAAGCGATTTTCCTGCCTGAGGAGTCAGTAGCTGGGATTTCAGGTGCACACCACCATGCCTGGCTAATTTTTGTATTTTTAGTAGAGACAGAGTTTTGCCATGTTGGGCAGGCTGGTCTCAAACACCTGACCTCAGGTGATCCGCCCTCCTCAGCCTCCCAAAGTGCTGGGATTACAGGCGTGAGCCACCACGCCCAGACTAAATTCGACTTTTGTAAAATAAAAAACCATGGAGTCAGAGCTAGGTCCAAATCGCAGACCCATTTCAAGCTGTCTGAGGTTGAGCAAGCGACTTGAGTTTATACCCATCAGTTTCATCATGAGTGAAATGGGAATAATAATAGAACTCACCACTGGACTATTTAGGATAAAATAAAATAATGCATGTCAAGTACTCATCACAGCATCTGGCGCACATTAAATAGTAGCAAAAAAATGTAATTAGGCTTTTTGAAGAATCCTGTGGTCAATTCTTTTGTACAGCAAATAATCCTCTAACAAGAAGAATCATTGTCTAATTTATACATGGTGTAGAATTTGCATTTTTAAGTTTGTCTTAAAGCAAGACAATGCCTGATTTCCACAGCCATGTTTCTCGGGCATGGAAGCATTATGACATGGGGGTCACAGATCTGGGTGTCACAGAATCTGCACTCTACAGCAGCTAGTGATATGACAATGAGCAAGTCATTTAACCTCTCAGAGCCTCAGTTTTCTCTTCTGTAAAATAAGGATAACAATAATGTATACTTCACGGGGTTGGCATATAACGAGGGTTTTAATGTTAGCTGCAATCATAAAAGTAATTATTGACAGTAAGAATGAAAACTTTTTTTTTTGAGATGGAGTTTCACTCTTGTTGCCCAGGCTGGAGTGCAATGGCACGATCTTGGCTCACTGCAACCTCCACCTCCCAGGTTCAAGCAATTCTCCTGCCTCAGCCTCCCGAGGAGCTGGGATTACAGGCGCCCACCACCATGCCTGGCTAATTTTTGTATTTTTAGTAGAGACAGGGTTTCACTATGTTGGTCAGGCTGGTCTTGAACTCCTGACCTTGTGATCCGCCTGCCTCAGCCTCCCAAAGTGCTGGGATTACAGGCGTAAGCCAGCATGCCCGGTCCAGAATGATAACTTTCAAAGTCAAGTTTGCATGTTTGATTCTAGCCAGTTAACATTGGGGCAAAGAAAAAACAGCTTTCCATTGCCAAAGCTTTTGCCCCTAGACCCAGGGAGCCATCTTGCTATTCCCCAAGAGGGATCAGGGCAGAAAGACAACTCAGGGCTTAGATCACAAAGCGTATGATGCTGGTGCTGGATCCGTAACACCATCTTTATGGAGGGACAGGGAATGAGAAAGAGGATGAGGATGCCACAAATCTCTCCCAGAAACCCACGTCTACTTTGCACAAGAGATCAGTAAGAGTGAGCCCCCCACCATCCCCACCCCTGCCTCCTGTACCTTACTGTCCAGCTTCTTCATAGTCACTAGGTCCAGAGACTTCAGGGAATGACCCGTGGGGGCAATGAAATACAGGCAGACGTGAATTCGGGAGTCATGGTAGGTGTGCAGCACTCTTCGGATCTTCAGCTCTTCCTGCAGGTAGGCCTCGAATTGTGCGTCAATGAATTCCACAATGGGTTTGTAGCTAAAAGGGAGAGCAGGGACAGAGGCAGACCCCGTCAAAAACTTGGGATTTTGACACTGTCCCTTTTGGAAGTTTCAAATACCCTCTGTAATCTTGACTCTCTCCCATCCAGCTGCATTTCTCCATCTCCCTTCAGGGGGCCTCTGATCTTGTCATCCTGGCCACCTTCTCAGTCCCTGCATGAGCCAAATCTATGCCCGTCTGTTCACCTTCACTAGAATGCCCCGTTCTCTCTCCTCATCCCAATTCTGCCCTCCCAGACCTCAGGGCTCAGCTTAATGCCTTCTTCCTTCCTACAGCCTTCCCCACTTATGCCAGAAAGCCCTTCTGCAAGCCAGGGGCATAACAGAAAATGGCATTCAATTGCCTTTTTTTTTTTGAGACAGAGTCTTGCTGCTGCCCAGGCTGGAGTGCAATGGAGCAATCTTGGCTCACTGCGACCTCTGCTGCCTGGGTTCAATCAATTCTTCTGCCTCAGCCTCTCAAAGTGCAGGGATTACAGGCGTGAACCACCACAACTGGCTCAATTCCTCATTGTTGCTTCGCAAGGATTCTCTCAAATAGACTGTGTCTTCCTGAAGGGCAGGGCCTGTAAAGGGCACTTCTGTGTCCCTCAGGAGGCCCCAACGCACCATGGAGCTCACTGGCTGAATCTGTAGCGGGGCTGATTTCCTCCAAGCTGGGCTCGTGTCTTTGCTTCCTTTATCTCCCCTACAGTGCCTAGATGGGAGCTGGGTACACACTGGGTAGCAAGACCTCTCTTTGGCCCAGTGCTGGGCAATCTTGTGAGAACACTTAGGGCTTCTGCTTATTCTCAGTAGGATTAGTGGAGCTCCCCATTTGGCTCCCCCAAGGTCAAGATATTTTTCTGATTCTCATTTCCACCAAGGTAGTGACTTTAAAATCTAAGTATTCAGGCCAGGTGCGGCAGTTCATGGCTGCAATCCCGAGCTTTGGGAGGCTGAGGCAGGCAGATCACCTGAGCTCAGGAGTTGGAGACCAGCCTGGACAACATGGCAAAACCTCATCTTTAATAAAAATACAAAAATTAGTCAGGCATGGTGGCACACGCCTAAATCCCAGCTACTTGGGAGACTGAGGCATGAGCATCACTGAAACCCAGGAGGCAGGGGTTGCAGTAGGTGGAGATCACACCACTGCACTCCAGTCTGGACAACAGAGTGAGACTTTATCTGAAAGGAAAGAGAAGAGAAGAAAAGAGAAAAGAAGGAAGGAAGAAAGGAAGGAAATCAATCAATCAATCAATCAAAGTATTCAGGCAAAATCTGGTAAAGCTATTCCCCACCACACCCTCCACACATGGACACAGGTTCACCAGCTCGCTGAGTCTCCATGCACGGCTCCTCTAGCTGGCCCCCAAGTCTTGCCAAGGCTTCTTCTTTTTTTTGAGACAGAGCCTTGCTCTGTCACCAGGCTGCAGTGCAGTGGCACAATCTCGGCTCACCGCAACCTCCGCCTCCCAGGTTCAAGCGATTCCCCTGCCTCAGCCTCCCGAGTAGCCGGGACTACAGGCATGTGCCATCACACCCAGCTAATTTTTTGTATCTTTAGTAGAGACGGGGTTTCACCACGTTGGCCAGACTGGACTTGAGCCCCTGACCTCGTGATCCACCCACCTGGGCCTCCCAAAGTGCTGGGATTACAGGCGTGAGCCACCACGCCCAGCCGCCAAAACCTCTTAAACAACAGTCAGCCCTCTATGTCTCTGTGTCCTGGTCATCCCTGAGAAACTTCCCCCTCTCTCTGTCTCAGTCCCCTCCCAAGTTGTCCCCATCACCCCTACAGCCTCTTGCTTCTCTAACTAGGTCAGCTTAGCCAGCCCTGCCTCTTGTTCTCATCTCCCCTGTCTGTCTGCTGCCTCTCTGGCTGAGGGGCTGCCTCTCTTCAGGCTAGAAGAGGCTTGTCATGTGGGCCCAAGGCAGGGAGTTTTCAGATACCGCTGCCAGAAGGGAACATGATGATCAAAGGAGGAGCTGGGCCCAGCCAATGCCTCCCACCTGCAGCAGCTCCCAGCCTGAGCCTTTTTCAAAGATCACCCTAGTAGAGAAGGGGGAAGTAGCCTTTTAAAAAATAATCACAGGATCCTAGATTCTCAGAGCTGCAGCCAGAGCAGAGATCCAGGTGCAGGCTATCTCTGGAGCCCCAGAGAAAAATCTTTCTTTTTGGATGGAATTTTGCCCTGTCATCTAGGCAGGAGTGCAGTGGCGCGATCTCCGCTTACTGCAACCTCCGCCTCCAGAGCCCCAGAGAAAAATCTAAAAACACAGTCCTTTTTTTCTTCCTTTGATCCCTCTGAGCCACTGTTCTGAAGGGCAATCGCATCAAAGAATCTCTTGGTTGCAAAGATCCTTAGAAGGTTCCTGAGGAATTTGGAGTGAGGGTGGGGGATTTATTCCCTAGGCCTTGCAAATTAATTTTTGGATGATTTGCTGATTTGAAATAGTTGATCATGGCACAGCTTCATTTTTTTCTCCACTACGTAACTTTTTTTTTAACTTTATTTATTTATTTATTTATTTTTGCTTTGCAGAAGGAATCAAAGGAGGAAAGAAAATAAAGCTAAAAAGTACACTTTTTAGCTCCCGACCCCTGGCCTCAAAATCTTGAGTGATACACTGTGCCTGTCTTACTGCAATCGCCTCTGGCTCTCAGAAGCTCTCAAGAAGTACATGGATCAGACTAGCCAAACTAGCCAAACTATCCAATCAGCCTCCAGGATTCGGTGTAGACGAATCCTAAACGGGTGACTTATCTCTGTCTTATTCATCTCTGTATCCTCCATGTCTAGCCTGCTGTCTGGAACACAGTAAAGTTTCCCCTACTGCTCTGTGTTCCCTCCCCCCCGGGGCCCCAGCGACTCATCTTCCCGCCGTATGAGGTTGGCCACCTCTCCCCCACATTCTGTTGTGCTGCTCACTGGATTCTAGTGGCTGGTAAACAAAATCCCTTACTCCTTTTTTTTTTTTTTTTTTTTTTTTTTTTGAGACGGAATCTTGCTCTTGTTGCCCAGGCTGGAGTGCAATGGCGCCACCTCAGCTCACTGCAACCTCTGCCTCCCAAGTTCAAGCAATTCTGCTGCCTCAGCTTCCCGAGTAGCTGGGATTACAGGCGTGTGCCACCACACCTGGCTAATCAAAATTCCTTACTCTTATAGGCTACCTCCTCCCAAACTGCTTCCTTCCTCTAAGTGACACCCGACTATCCTCCAAAGATGCTGCTTTTCTCATGTCCTTCTCAACTGGAAATTTCTTCATCTCCACACCCAAGTCCCATGGAAGAGCAGAGAGGGCAGCTTTCTTCTAGCTCTTGATTCCCTTGCTCACTGTGATCTCCTCCATCTGACCAAAACCAGCTCCAACAGACTCCATCCCTCCCCATCACTACTGATAATCTTTGACATTTCAAGACAGGCATTCTTTTTTTTTTTTTTCTTTTCTTTTTTTTGAGACGGAGTTTCGCTCTTGTTACCCAGGCTGGAGTGCAATGGCGCGATCTCGGCTCACCGCAACCTCCGCCTCCTGGGCTCAGGCAATTCTCCTGCCTCAGCCTCCTGAGTAGCTGAGATTACAGGCACGTGCCACCATGCCCAGCTAATTTTTTGTATTTTTAGTAGAGACGGGGTTTCACCATGTTGACCAGGATGGTCTCGATCTCTCGACCTCGTGATCCACCCGCCTCGGCCTCCCAAAGTGCTGGGATTACAGGCTTGAGCCACCGCGCCTGGCCGCTCAAGACAGGCATTCTTAACACAGGGTCCATGGATCTCCTGGGGTCTAAGAACAGAATTCAGAGGATCTGCGAACTTGGATAGGGGAAAAAATACATCTTTTTCACTAATCTCTAACTGATGTTTCTTCAGCTATGAACATAGATAATAATCTACAGTAATGTTAGCAGTACCTTTGATTTCATAACCAATAGAAATCACTGATATAATCATTTCCCATTCCAGTTGTTGCAGATAGCTCAGAATAGCATTTATACTCATTATGACATCCAAATTCTGATCATTATTAAGCCTGCATATAGATATTGTTCCAGAATTGATAGAGAAGCACGTGATTACTAAGTCACTATTTTTAACTATTTAACTAACTGTATTTTTGGTATAATTGATATATTTAGGCATTTAAAAACATTCTTTTGAGAACAAGCCCATAGGCCTCACTAGATTGCTAACGGGGCCAATGGCACAAAGTAACCCCTGGTCTAGACAATAATTCTTATTCATTTCAGATAATGATATGTACTATGAAGATCCTCCAATAGGGTAATGGGATATATATGTGATTGAGGGTTTAACTACTTTAAATACAGTGATCAGGGAAGGCTTCTCTAAGGGTGAGACATTTGATCTGCAAGGAGGAGGATGAGAGAGCCATGGAGATATCTGGGTGAAAAGCATTCCAGGCAGAGGAAATAACAAATGTGGGGATGGTCCTGAGGCAGAAACCAGTCTGACAGGTTTGAGCAATAGGAAAAAGGCCAGGGAGGTGGGACTTGGTGAACCCAGTGTGAGTAAACTATTCACAGTAGCCCAAAGGTGGAAACAACCCAAATGTCCATCAAATGATGACTAGATAAAGAAAACATGGAGGCCGGGTGCCATGGCTTACACCTGTAATCCCAGAACTTTGAGAGGCTGAGGCAGGTGGATTACCTGAGGCCAGGAGTTCGAGACCAACCCAGCCAACATGGCGAAACCCGTCTCTAATAAAAATACAAAAATTAGCCAGGTGTGGTAGTGTGCGCCTGTAGTCACAGCTACTCGGGAGGCTGAGGCAGGAGAATGGCTTGAACCCGGGCAGCAGAGGTTGCAGTGAGCCAAGATTGCACTACTGCACTCTAGCCTGGGCAACAGAGTGAGACCGTGTCTAAAAAAAAAAAAAAAAAAGAAGTGCCTTATTTCTTGTGTCTCTGGCACCTCACACTGTACTTGTCATATAGTAGACATTTAGTAGTTTATAAAACGGACTAGG